TGTTGATGATTTTGAAATTCTACGCTCGGATTTTTAACATATAAATTTTGTAATTAATAATAAAATGTAAATTTAAAACTAAATATTATTAGTAAATAAACTCAATATTATAATTATCAAAATTCAATATTAATATTAATAGACTTGTCTATATTATTTTAAATAGTACCTATACTTATAAAACGGTTCGTTACATTGATAGAACTACATTGCAAAGTTTTTCCTACGTGGAAATCGTAATTGAACATTTGAACGAATTGAACGATATTATAATGTAATCATTATAAATTCAAAATGCATAATAATCTGACCTTTGAATTTTTTTTTTCTTAAAATTATTAAATCTTTCAAATGTAAATGCGTTGTGTGTATCAGCTATAGTAATGACCTTGCACGAGTTGCATATATAATATTATATATTCATATATTAAATAGCCGTTTGTTTGGCAAAGGTTCAAAGTTTTCTATTWGCAATAAATATCAAACATATATTTTTGATAAGTGATACCATGATGTTTTTAACTTAATATAAATTATTTATATACTGTTGATCAAAAACTTACRTTCAACTTCTCCGCGTACGGAGCGATATGTCTTACGGATGATCTTGTGTTGAACAAGTAGGCTACCGGTGCGAGACTGATTTGAGACCTAATCTTGTGATGGTATTCTGGTCTTTCAGAAGCCATTATGAAAAACACGGACGTGCCCATCGAATAACCTACGTAATGGAGTTGCGGCGCATTGGTCTTCATTAGAATGTAGTCGAACGAAGCTGGCAAATCGAACGTTCCGACTTCGTGTAAGCTTTGCAACCGTTATTATAGTTATATTGTATTATTATTGCTTGATTAGATAAGTATAGGTATAATATATATAATATAAATATTATTATTTTCAAGATGAAAAGACGTAATAGAAAGGACCATCAATTTACCATAATATATGAATATACGAGCACTACGTATCTGCGTGTATCCACGATGAACAAAACTACAAATAATAATATTATAATATTATATAGTTATTACAATAGTTTTACCTAAAATTCCAATAATCTCTTTGCTTGGATGTCATCGTCGAGTGCTTTCTGCTGTAGGTGTTACCCCGACAGTTGGCCAACCACACGTCGTACCCGGCGTCGGATAGTTGCATCGCTATAATATAATATTATTATTACAATGCATTATGCTGCAGGTACAACGCACGATATTAACAACTTTACCTACAAAAGTTTATGCACGGCGCGAAAAAACGCATAAATAATATTATAAATTTCGATCGAGCGATTTTTTATCGACATTGATGGTTTATACTCACGTAACGATATATCGGCCCCGCCGAGCACCCAATCCGCCGAACTTCCCAGAATGCCGTGGTGCACGAACACCGGATGGTTTCTGGTTGGTTCTTGTCCGCTCTTGTTTCCCGAGATGCGATGCAACTCCAAGATGTAACCGTCCTCCGTGACGACATCGTGTACTTCAACGGCATAACCATTGTTTTTGACAATTTCAACCTAGTAGGAATTCCAAAGAATCATAAAAAATAAAATGTAAGTACATTAATATCTTATAATAATGTAGCTGTGTTTGTGTATAAGCACTTATGTACCATGTCTACAAATACAGAACACCTATAACGGTTATAACTATATACTACCGATCTGCAGTGGCGTTACTACATGGACTTAAAAGTTAAAATCGTTGAAATATACATAATATACAAAGTGTGAAAGTATACATACATTTTAATACATTATATAGGTATATTGGTATATTGGTATATATATACCTAATTTAAATTACAAATACCTAAAAATTCATTATCCAGAAATATAAAATAATCGACTTTATTTTGTACGCTAACTGATATAGGTAAACAAGAGTGTATAACGCTAAAAAAAAATTCAATTAATACACCCGAGTTTATTTGATTTAATCGTGAAAACTTRTATTAATAATAATAAAATACAACATTTACGCAGGTGCCAGGATACCAAGCTATGCACCAATACGACTTAATATTATGTGTTTTTATATTATATGCGTTTTTAATACTTATATATTTTAAGATTGAAAATGCAGTAAAACAATCACAATATTTATCAATCTGTTCAAGTATCGTAAATCATAGTTAATATTTCGTTTGATATTATAGCTGTACAA